TTAACCTTTTGAACGCCAGAGCAAAAACGCATGAACTTGCCCTCAACGCCAGGCCACAAATTCACCGCAAATACCTACGAAAAAAATAGGGATTCCAAAACTTCATCGATAATCAATTTTATTTTCATTTTCGTCTTTAATTTCGAAATATAATGTCCTTATAACATTGAAATTTAATTCAACATTACATTTCTTCCTATTAAAGTAATAGTTATACACTATTTACAGACTTGTATAATACCGTAATAACAGATATGAGACTACAATATATTTAAATATAATAACTGTAGGTACAACACTGCTGTCTTCATATTGTGACCATGGCGTGGACGGCCCGCCATTTTAATAACTACTTCGCTTCCGAAATAAGGATGTGGCAACGTAATATCTCGTTTATCGATGTTCTAGTACAATATTATTTTATAATAAATGAAACACGTTTTTTAAATCAGATTTATAATTCCGAATGTAACAGGTACTTAAAAATATATGATTGAAATAGGTTAAGAAGGTAAATAAAAACTATGAAAAAATAGAAAATTTTAATAAAATGTTATACAGTATGTACTATGTATACATGTTTTTAAATATTAAGTTCTATAAACCTGGCATAAAAAGTAACAAATTAAAACAATTAACGATTATATATAATTATCACAATTACCAATCAGTCTTATACTAATAAATCTTTTGAATAATAGAGCAAAATTATACAAAATCTACAATGCAACCTGCATTCTGAACTCTGAACTCGATATCACAAGTAAATTAATCATAAATATTATTCATTCACTTCACTAATTTCTGGTCGCCGCGCTTGTGACGTCACGATATTGTCGTCTAGTCGTGACCATGGCGTACAGGGTACTGATAATTCGGGTTGCGTTAGGGATGCGCTCGAGTTGGGATTAGTGAATATCGAAATTCGACCCAACCAAATTTTATTTTTGACTATGTAGCTTATTGAATGATTTTTAAGACTGGTTTTATAAAATTAATGCTGCTTTATCCTAGTACCAAATTATACCTAAAATAATATATTCCAGAGGAAAGTTTCGCATCGATCTTTGATTTAAAATAATGATATTATCCAACATGCGCTACATCACTAGCGGTCACGCAGTTATGACTCTGGCGTGTGAGGACATTCTTTTTTCAGAGTTTATTTCTTTCTTTTTAACGTAAAATTTCTCAATATTTATAATGCAATTTAATTAGTTTTATGGAAATAAATAAATTTTGGACCTTCTATTTTACAGGTATATAAATAAATAGGCATTAAAGTAATGTTTAAATAGTTTATTTCGTGTTTTAATGTACCGCTGTTTTTGTCACATATTTGTGTCGTTGGCGCTCAGGGACAGTTTTCGCTTGTCACGTATTTGTGACCCTGGCGCTCAAAAGGTTAAATGCGCTGATATCTGGAACTGCCGGTCTGATGTGAAGAATTATTTTTGTGTTGGACAGTTTATTTCTCGAGGAAGGTTATAAGCTATAAAACATCACGCTACAATATGCTAAGACACAGGTCGAGTGGGTAAACTGCATTACTAGACTCAAACCCAGACTTGCTAGTGTTACATAATAATATTTATTTTGTATTTTAGGTATACAAAGAGAAGAGGATAAGATTAAAAGATCTCTAAAGGAAGCTGCAGCCAAGAATGACAAACAAGTGTGCACAATACTGGCTAAAGAGATCATTCGATCTCGGAAGGCTATCAGTAAAATATATACAACTAAAGCACATCTCAATTCTGTGCAGATGCAGATGAAGAATCAATTAGGTAACGAAAAAAATTATGTACTTTTTTAGTTGCTGTAAATCGAATTATATATTTAATTAATGAAACATTATTTTTATAATGATGGTTCGTAGACCTGTCATTTATTTATAGTACTAATCACTATTACTACATAGTATGAAACAAAGTCGCTATCCGCCGTCTGTCTGTCCCTATGTATGCTTATATCTTTAAAACTATGTAATGGATTTTGATGTGACTTTCTTTAACAGATAGAGTGAATCTTAAAGAAGGTTTATATGTATAATACATGCATATTGCACACATGCGAAGCCAGGGCGGGTTGCTAATATACTTTAATTAGATGTACAAAGTTTTATCAACCATCTGATGGTAAAGTCGCCTGCTACAGTAGTAGTGGGACCTTTTTTGGTGTAAATACTATAGTTTTGCTTTCATTACCAGTTGCTCCTTACATATATTTCAATGTCGTGCTACCATGGTCAAGGAAAATATTGTTTTTTCCCTATACATTTTATACAACTGTTACGGTGTTGTATAACTGATCCTTTTTGCTTCCAGCCACATTAAGAGTTGCTGGCTCATTGCAGAGGTCAACTGAGGTATGTTTCAACATGCTCCAATTACATATTATGATATTAACACTGTTACTGTTCATTCAGCTAATTATGCTGTTGATTACCTACTTAATAGCATAGCGTGTCTTGGCTGGACCCCGTGTAAAAATTTGTTTGGAGGCCCATATGCAGGGTAAACATTTCTCAAAAAATATGCATAAAATTCTAATAATTTGTGTACAAATCGGAAACCTTTCCATTTCCTTCCCTCTGCTCAATTTATCGGACTATAATTACCTACTTTAGTTTTTCTAAACCAATGATTTGAAACACATAAAATAGAAATTGGAAAGCTTTTTAATTTTTGGCTACACACATTGAGGGCCATTTATAATCATTGTTATGGTAGATACGGCGCTATCTTCTGCCGTCAGCCTCTGTACTTAAATGACTAAAAATTTTATAAAAGTTATGTGTAAATCTGTAGCTATAACATGGTTGACCAGTTTATTACAGATTGTTTATAGCTATTGATTCTATACACAGATGATAATATTCATAACTTGAAACTAAACTTATAGTTATAATGAGAATATTTTTTCCAAATTAGATTTCTCATTGAGAATTTTCCATTCTTTCCTATAAATAAAAATGTAATGTAATGTTATTTACATAATTTATAACTTTACCAGGTAATGCAAGCGATGCAAGCACTGATCCGTCTTCCAGAAATAGCAGCCACTATGCAGGAGATGAGCAAAGAGATGATGAAGGCTGGCATCATCGAGGAGATGCTGGACGAGACCATGTCAGGCATGGAGGATGAGGAGGAAATGGAGGAGGCGGCGCAGAGTGAAGTTGATAAGGTACATACTGATTATTAGTTTAGATTTAGAAACTCCATAGGTCATTTTAAAATGTTTTGTAAATTATTCTTCATGGGAATTCCATCTCTAAAATTTTTTATGCAAATTGTTAGTTAGGGCACAGATTATATAATAGTTATTACGTTAGGGCTTGGTTGTAACTGGCAGTCTAGACACACAAATGAATGTTTTGCACAGAATTAAAAAAGTTCCTGCTCACAGTGTGACTAAACTTGGTCTGCCAATGTTTTCAAACTATTCCAAATCTACTAAATCCCACCAAAGGATTAAGTTATTTAAAAGGGAAAGAGTAAAAGAAATTTCTTTTCATTGATACAAAAAATAATGATATTCTTGTGTGACTAATAAATATATTCTTCTGTGCAATTTCCAGGTATTATGGGAGCTAACGCAAGGCAAGTTGGGCGAGGCGCCGGCGCCCCCCACGGCTGTGGGCGCACCTTCCACCAGCAAGGAGGAGGACGTCGTGCCAGAGACCACTGAGAGTGAACTGGATGAGATGGCGTCACGATTAGAGGCACTTAGGTCTTAATACTACTGCGGTTGTGTTCATAGGTATGTGGGCATTGTGTAAATTGGTATTATGTATAATATACTTCACTAAAGACTGCACGGTTGGTGCGGTGGCTGGGTAACTGGCTGCCGCGCAACGTGTAGCGGGTTCGATTTCCACACGGAAAAATTCTTCGTGTGATCCACAGATTGTTGTTCCGGGTCTGGGTGTCATGTGTATGTGAACTTGTATGTTTGTAAACACAGGAGGAAATCCTCGTATGGGGCAACGTTTTTTTAAAGAAGAAGAAAAACAATGAATTAGTAAAGCAAGAATAGGCTGGCTTGACCAAAGTGATACCACTGCCTTACATAGTCATCAAGGCTTGCGTCATGTTTCGCTGTGTGAGTTAGGTTACAGAAATCCAATCCTCTCATCCCCCAAGGGCCAACAACTCGTATTTCCTTTAGTGTTGTGCTTGTATTAAAAGCAAATCTTTTATTATATTACTAGCTAATTCCGCGCGGCTTCACACGCTCTGCTCAGCTCGTATTGGTCGTAGCGTGATGTTTTATGGCCTATAGCCATCCTCGATAAATGCGCTATCCAACACAAAGAATTATTAAAATCAGACTTGTAGTAGTTATGGAGATTAGCGCGTTCAAACATACAAACAAAAAACAAACTCTTCCGCTTTATATAAGAGTATAAGATTTCATCAGTCATATACCATGTATATTTGAAACCCAGCAATATAATTGTCCTCAGAATATTACTATGCCAAAGTTTGTTAATTTGTGGGTATGTTTGTGACTCAGTCAAGTCGAAACGGCTCAAGGGTTCGTAATGAAATTTGGAACAAGCATAGATTATGGTCTGAAATAACACATAGGCTACCTTTTGTCCCCCGGGGAAGCTAGTTTAAAATAATCGATATATTCAATAATCCCCAGACTAAAATTGCTTGCCAAAACCGGCCAGAACGTCACTTAACAATCAATTTTGTCCATTTACTATAATACATAATCAAATATAATAGATAAACTGCCAGGCAAGGGGTCTCGGGTTCGATTTCCGGGTCGCGCAAAGTATTACCGGGTTTATTAAAAATTTTCATTAGTAGCACGGAGTCTGGAATTGTGCCCGATATATGGCAATAGGCTCACCCCCTATTACATGGGACTGTGAAAGTGAAAAGTGGGTGTTACATTGTACAGTGGCATAATGTGCACCTCTGCCTACCCCTTCGGAAATAAAAGGCGTGATGTTATGTATGTTATAATCAAAGTTATTAATAATTCTACTATTTTGTATCCACAGATATGCACCAAGTGTCGGAGACAAGATAAGAGAAGGCTGCCGACTCCAAGCCGCCACGGATTGACAATTGCCTTAGAACAATGTAAATAATTGTTGATTGTATGTTTGTAATTATGTTTGTACGTCCGTACGAGAGTTTTTACAACAAATTGTAACTTTATTGTAATGTTTATAGAGTTCATTTTGTCACTGAGAGATTTCATATTATATTCTGTTGGGAATGTTGAGTCCTATGATTAGGATGATATATTTTATCTTAAACTACTAATACTTGCATTGTTTCACAGTTTTTAATGATTTTTTATTGGTCTACTACACCCACAGAAATTATTATGGAAATATTTTACGTAAGTTCATAAAACCATTATATTGTATCATAGAAATTGATGCTGTATTTAAAAGCTACTAAAACTTCTGTTTCGTTTTACGAAGTGCCCCAATGAATATTGTAGTATCGTCCAAAGGAGTTCAATATTATAACTACATGAATAAAGTTTAAAAATTTTACGAAAAGAATTATTATTGGGTGACAGTTTTAGCTCGATATAATGTATGAATCTGATATATATCGAATAAATGGTACAAACTGCTTTATTGGAATTAATGTGTATGAAAAAGGCTTGTTGACGCATTTTTTACCGTGCACCATTATTGTTAACAATTTTAAATAATATATTATAACTCGACCACGCGAAATGAAAGGGATAATATGATTATCGTACTTTTAACATTTTAACCGGCTTCCAAAAATAGGAGGTTCTCATTTCGGTTGCTTTTATTGTAATTGCCATCAGTTTGACCCGTGTTACAAACAATGTTGTTTTCAAAGCAAGTAACGCATCTATAATATACAATGAAATACAATGTCAATATATTATTTCTAGTTGCGCGTAACCTCAATATTTGATTATTTTGTGGGGATAACTCAAGGATTGAAGGATGAAGTGCTTTTGAATTGCCAACGGAACGAATAATACATGATATAATATGATAGCATAATGAATAATGTGTATAGGAGGATCTGGGTATGAAGCATTGATGCACAAGTGCTAAATACACCCACGACAGTGGCGTAGCGTACTTTAACACTTTTACACAAATATGTATGTATTATTTTATCACCACTAGAGAATTATTTTATCAGCATAAAATACTAATATTTTTTGTAAATATGTATCGGAAAACTTTCCAGGCGACTCCCTCTGTCCAAATTATCGGACTATAATTACTTTAGGTTTTCTAAAGTTTCTGCTTTACGCCAGAAAAACGTAGTTTATTTTGAATGTTGTGATTACTGAAATAAAATAAAATTGAGAAGTTATTATAAGTTTTGCTTACGCACGTTGGAGCCCCGTTCGTATAATTGATACGACAGATAAGGCGCTGGCTACGCGCTTGCAACAGAGTATTCTAAATAAAATATTGCCATATTATAGTACTTCTCAACGATAATAGATGAAATTAGACTTTAAAATATGCCCTCATCATCGTCGCATTTTGTGAGTAAAACCGTGAGCAAAAACTAATATTGTAATCGCATTATAAATACATTTAAGTTCACTTGTGATATATATTTAAATAGCTTTTCTAATCGCTAGTGTTAGAACGCGGACCTAATGTCGAACTGTTATGGCAGATGTCTACTTCAGTTGTGAAATAAAATGCACTAACTATTATATAAATAATTTTGTTTTACTTGTTTATTTATTTATTTTGGTTAACACCATACCTCGTTTGTCGTTGCCACGTTGGCCGAGGTTCGATTTCAGGGACGGGCAAAGAATTACTGGGTTTTAAAAAAAATCTCTATAGTAGCATGGTGTCTGGTATTTTGCCCGGTATATGGCAATAGGCCCACCCCTTATTACATGAGATTCAACATAAATAGTGAATAGTGGTTGATACATATGTATTACATTGTACAGTGGAAATTAAGTGCCGTAATGTGCACCTCTGCCTATCCATTCGGGGATCAAAGACGTGATATTATGTTATGATATCTTAGCCAGGCTATTGGCTGCATGCGAGAGAAGTCATTAAATGATTTTCCTCCGTCAAAACTATTGACTGCACGGTTGGTGCGGTGGCTGGGCAACCGGCTGCCGTACAACGTGTCGCGGGTCCGATTCCCGCATGGAACAACACTTTGTGTAATCCACAAATTGTTGTTCCGGGTCTGGGTGTCGTTTGTATGTGTACTTGTATATTTGTAAACGCACCCACGACACAGGAGATAATACTAGTGCGGGGCCACGTATTATTTAAAAAAAAAAACAAGGAAGAATCTTCACGAGATCATGAAAATAAAACCAGTGTAAATTATAAGAATTGGCTATAAATATATTTCATATAATACTATAACAATAATATCTAAAGTATAAGTACGGGTATCACAGTCAGTTACAGCATTTTGGAGGACAAGTCTAGTTCCAGTTGCATGTCTTGTATCGATTCCTTCTTCAGCAGAGGCTTTCGATCACTCTCCTTTGTCTTTTTTGTATTTTTCTTGTTTTTAGCAAATCTGGAAAATATAAGGAGATTAATAAAGTTTATAAAAAATATCATTAATCACTTTGATATTATGTATCTCTGTGATACATGCGCGAGGTATTCTTTTTGAGAAAAATAAATTCTTTATTATTTATTGGAATCGATGGCATTGTTGACGATCGATCGATTTTTTTTATGGAATAGGAGGCAAACGAGCAGACGGATCACGTAAGCGATCAGCGCCGCCCATGGACACCCGCAACACCAGAGGAGTCACAGGTGCGATGCCGATGCCTTTTAAAAAGAAATATGCTCATTTCTTAAAGGTTTGAAAGTCGTATCGGTTCGGAAATACCGCCGACGACAGATCATTCTACAGTTTTACTGTGATGTGGTAACACCCTTAGTCGACACTTTCAACACGCAATAATAAATGTATGATACTAATACTAACCTATTAATAACTCCGTCGGGATGGTCCATCATGCGTATAATATCAGCCTGGTCGGACGAGTCGAGGGGAGCGACAGAGATGTCGCGCACAGCTCTGAATTTACCACAGTTGTTCAAATGCTCGTTCTCAAGACGGAAGAAGTTCCATATGAACCGTCTGCAATATCAATAATATATATAGTGTTACACAAAGTTGTTATTTCAAATGACTGCCTCGTTGGGCGAGTGGCCGCAAGTGCGACTGCCAGGCAAGGGGTCTCGGGTTTGATTCCCGTGTTGAGCATAGTATTACTATTTATTACTACTATTAAGTATTATTCGGGCAGTTTTAAAAAAATCTCAGTGGTAACACGGAGTATGGAATTGTGCCCGGTATATGGCGATAGGCTCATCCCCTATTACATGGGACTTCAATACATAGTATAAAACAAAGTCGCTTTCGCTGTATGTCCGTATGTATGCTTAGATCTTTAAAACTACGCAACGGATTTTGATGCGGTTTTTTTTAATAGATAGAGTGATTCTTAAGGAAGGTTTGTATGTATATACATATTGCACCCGTGCGAAGCCGGGGCGGGTCGCTAGTATAACATAAAATAGTGAAAAGTGGGTGTTACATGGTACAGTGGCATTAAGTGTCATAATGTGCACCTCTGCATACCCCTTCGGGGAAAAAAAGGCGTGATGGTGTAATGTTATGTTATCAAATGACTTCAACGGTTTTTTTGGAATTGTTACTCCACACTGCAATTTGTTATTGTATCCTGAGAGGGTTTACAAATCACAACAATAAGGGCTGAGGGTCCATGCCCAGGGCCCTCCTCCTTAGGGGTCCCCGAAGGATCGACAATTTCTACGACGACATCTACATTGTGTCGGGTCTGCATGTCATGTGTAAATGGATCTGTTTGTTTGTAAATACACCCAGGATACAGGAGAAAATCATAGTGTGGTGCAATGTTAAAGAACAGAAACATTCCACAAGGGCCCCGAATTATTGTTTGCTAAGGGCTAGAGCGTAGTATAAGACGGCCCTGACAATAGCCGGTTGTCTCGCGTAAACTATGCAGTCACTTTTAAACTGTCAAACACCAAGCGGTCACCGATGACCGCAACCTATTGTTCTATAATTGTGTCTATAATTACGGTATCAAAATCTTACCTGAAAACTTCAAGCGGTGCCAGAATAGATGTCATAGTCTCGCCGCTGACGACGTTGTTCTCAGTCAACACAAACGACACTGTCCATATGAAACGCAGCACGAAATCCTCCACTATCGCGAAGTAGTAGAACTGAAATAACATCGAAATATGTCAAGCTGTTTAGGAGAACCAACCCGCATTGAGCAAGCGTGGTGATTAATTCTTAAACCTTTTCCGTGCGGAATTGGATTCAAGAGTAAGCCCCCGGGACATTAAAGTCCAGCGGGATGTGCCTAAGGGACATGAATAACTGTCTTGGTTCTCACAACGAAATAAATCAGAAGATAATTATAAGAGGAAAAGAAAAAACCGATAGTTTCCATTTCACTCTGTGATTTTAATGCAAGGGACAAATTTTTCATAATAACATGTAATGTTGACTCACCCCAGGACTATAAACAATTTCCTCTCTAAGGAATTTGTTCTCAGCATTAGGTCCGCAGCTGAAGAGTCCCCAGTCCATCTTGACGTCCCACGTGTACGTGTACAGCGAGGATACTAGTTGGCACGCAAACCACGCGTATAGGAAAGGATTGTCGTACGGGTTTGTGTATTTACCTGCAATAAAGATAAAATAAAAAATTAAAGAAAAAAAAGCATTTATTCGACAAATACTGAAGTACTTAAGTGATTGCCTCGTTTGCCGAATAGTCGCAAGTATGACTATCGGGCAAGGGGTCTC